GTCTTGGGTCAGGGAGCCTTCCCTGGGAGGCCAGCACAGCTCCCAGGCTCCAGAGCAGTGTGTGTGTGTGTGTGGGGGGGAGCAGTCAGGCCCTGAGCTCCACGGGTGGCCTGTCTGGGACAACCTTCTCAGACATGGCCAAAGCCAGGTGGTCAGCCTAGGGGTGGGGGAAGGGGGAGACCCTCTATTAACCAACTGCAGCCCAGATGAGTCAGTATTTTCTGCTAGTGATTTTTACAGAATCAACATATGCTTCGTATCTCCATGGCAACACACTATGGATCTGCATTCCATTTGTGGAGCTCCTTCTTGACCTCTCTGTGTTCTCTGATTCAGCCTGAATATCTGCTGAGAAGCCATCAGAGTCCACCCAATCTCCAAGAAGTATGGGTTCCCTCAGTCCTGGCTGTTCCAGAAGGGCAGACGCTGCCTCCATCCATGCAACTGGAATATCTGGAGACCTTCACCTGGAGACACACAACAGTACCTCAATTAGGGGGTAACCCTGATCCGGAGTTGCCATGGAAACCCGGTTGTATTGAGTACTGGAGAAGCTGAGTGCTTCCTCGCCCTTCCCAGTATGGTGGTCCTTCAAGGTCTTGCCTAAGCTGCGTGTTTCTGTTTCACATGCATCTTAGAAATCTGAACGTCCTGCTAAATACTGAGCGTCTGACCTGAGCCTAAACAAGAAATGCACAGGTTTCTAGTTATGGACTCCAGCGCCTTAGGGTAAAAATGGAGACCACATATGGCTGGTGGTTTTGACCACGGGTCTGGGAGGCAGATGCACTCGGGGTTCACCTGTGAACTTCCCACTTAGATGACCTGGCAGGTTTTTACTGTAAGGTTCAGTTGGCTCCTGTGAAGAGTGGGAAGGAGCGAGCGTGCCTCGGAGAACTGGAAGGATTAAAGGTTGATGCACTAGAGCCCTGGGTCCAGAGAAAAGCTCCGTCAAGGCCCAGCTCAGCTCTAGGGGGCGCCACGCACACGGAGGCCATGGGAAGGGGCTTCCTGGTAGCAGCGTTACATCCCGGGCCCCGGCCAAGGGCCCAGCTCCACATTTATAACCTTAATTAGTCCTTTCCCGATGGACTGGCCAGAAGTCAAAGTCCATTCGGAGGCTCAGATGGGCCAGCCCCGGTGCAGAGGCCTTACTACCCCAGCCCCGATGCCATCGCGCCACCAGCGCCGGCGCCAGGTTCCTGCGGAATCCGAAAGGCACGTGGGCGTCGGCGCGAGGGACTGGCCCGCCGCGACACGCCTCGCCTGACCTAGCAGGGCGCACGGCCGCCCGCTCGGCCGAGACCCCCGG